TGGGTGGGTTTTGGGTTACTTCCTACCCTCCATGTCCTGATCACCCAACACAGCAAATGCCCAAGGTCTCCAAAATCCTCAGGGTGCAGCTAGGTTTGGCCCTCACCTCCTGAGGTTCCTGCTTTTGTTCAGCTTTGGAGATATGTGACCTACTGCCTTTATTCCAATCAGTAATGTGTTCTCAACTGGGAAGATCAATCACATTACTAAATTCTGCACACTGCTAAAAATGCAAGTTACTTATTTCTTTTAGACATTTAATATAGCTTTGTATTATATAAAAGTGTCTTAAAAGTATTAAAGGGTTATGTTTTTCTCTTTCTCTGATGCCTCTAACTCACTGTAGATGTAATTTTGAACTAAACTCCTATGTGGTATACAGGGTGGGGCAAAAGTAACTTGCAGTTGTTTATATGAAAAATAACATAGTAACTAATACAATAATAAATTGTTTCACATACAACTGTAACCCTACTTTTGCCCCACCCTTTTAAATATGTGGGGAACCCCAAAGAATCAGATTTGAGAGTGGCCTCCCCTATAAAAGTTCAATATTTGTTTTTGTCAGGCACCCTTGGGGACCACAAATGTGGACCACTTTAATTCATCAGCTTGGGGTTTCCCAGACACCACAGAGAAGGAAAACTGAAACTAAAACTTGCGTGAAGAGAACTTAGTAACAAATAAGGGAAAGTCGCCTTGGCCAATTAGGCTCAGCATAAGGAGCATCGAGTTGTGGGTTAGATTCAGGTCAAGTCAAGGGCATGTTCCTTGGTTGCGGTTCATCCCCAGCCCTGGTCAGGTCCTGCGGGAGGCAACCAGTCGATGTGTCCCTCTCAATTCGATGTTTCTCTCTGTCTCTCTCCCCCTCCCTCCCACTCTATCTGATGATAAATAGAAAAGTATCCTTGGGTGAGGAATTAAAAAAAAAAAAATTAGGGAAAGTCATTATCTTCCTCCGCTAGGACAAAGTCAGGAGAGCAATATGTCAATTTGAAGATTAAGAGTTTTTCCCCCTAGTCCACTTTTTCATGGATATATAACACCTTGAACAACGCTGACTTAATGCCAGCTCTTGACTCACAGCTGGGGTAGGTTCAAGGGCCAATTTCCTGTCTGCCCTAGGGACTCACATTAGTAACAAAGCCCTCAGGGCACCCTTAACATCCTTTTTGGGGACAGAGATTAAAGGGTCTCTATAGTGCTGTACTCAGGCATTTATTTCTTTTATAGGAATTGTTTTTTCCATTCTAGTAAGTTGGCAATATTACTGTAAATGCCTGTATATGTTTTAGAAATGATATAAAATATTCTGTGGTCTTTAGGAAAAACAGTCTATTCAATAAATGAAACAAACAGTAAAAACAGATTCCAGGTCTATATTCTGACTTGTTAATGACATATTCACATTCATTCACATTGTGTTGACAGAGAAAGAAGTAGATATGAAAGAACAAATTAGTCACCATAAGTAACAAAGGGAAACAATAGATACTAGACAATTGTACAACAACAACAAAACTTCCGCAGGGAGGGACAAGTGCATCAACCAACACACCTCCCGGAGGAAACCAAAGAACTCTAACAGGAGTGTGTGGTCTTTGACTTGCATGGAATAAAGGAAGGACATCTACATCTTGTGGTTTTTTAATAGTGCTGAAGAATTGTTTTCAATCACACTGCCATTCTTCTATAAGAGCCCCCAAAACAAAATTAAACCTGAGTACCTGATTTAATTTGCATGCATGGTTTTCCCATATTCTACTTAGCCTATGACAACTAAAAAATCCTCAGACAGCCTCAAACCATTAGCATTTTTTGTCCCCCATCTGAGCCAGTTCTCAATTTAGAGGTTTATAAAAATTAAAAGGTCTCCTAGGTAAATTTCAACTCTCCCATAGGGACATTTTAGCCTATATATCTAATTTATGACTCACTGCTTAGGGGCACAGTTAAATCAACCTCTACTCACAGGTAGCATTTTTGACAGAATCAAAATTTGGGAAATTGATCAGTTGTAAATTATGCTATCTACAAATACTCCCCCAAAAGAACAACTTTCCTTACATGTTTTAAAGATAAACACTCAATACTTTTATTTCTACATAAAGACATCCACATTTTTTCATTGTGTAAAAAAAGCCAATCACTTAAAATTCAGAATTTTTGGATAAACATGAAGCAATACCAAATGTTTTATTTCCCAGTAAAACTAAGACCGAAGTTCCTCTCCCTGAAGAGCAGACAAGGTGACACAGTTTTGACTGTGTAATCTTAAAATCACCAATAGTTAAGCATGGCCTCTGACTTACTTAATAACAAGATTACCTGTTCTTTGAAACTATCAGTACATTATTAGTGCCTACACAGGTCATTCAAAAATTGTAACTCTTCACTTAAAATTATTTATTTTGGGAAAAATATGAATAATGCGTTTCCTAAATATAGTAGCTAAAAAACACATTAGATGAGAGTGCATTCATTTGCCATACAACTTCAACATCGAATCATAAATTTTCTCCTGAGCAGCATAATAGACAACATAAATGCTTCCTTTCCCAAATCCCAAAAAGCACTGAACATAACAAACTGAAGGATATCCTGGAAATGAACTTTTGTCCAAAGGTTGAGCTTTTGGTTCTTCACAAAAAAAATAATTTTCTAATTAGTCATAAATGTTAGAAAGGCTACTTGATGTGTATGATAACTTTCAAAGAATATATATCTTTCTCAGTTACCATAATAATGAAGTTGCCAGAATTAAAATGGATTGTCTAAATTTTAAATTTAGAGCATCCAAGTACTGATTCAACATCATATTTGCCTCTTAATAATGAAAGTACCTATTTCTTCTTGTCTCAGGAGCTAGATGGTAAAATATTTCACCTAGTTTTTAAAATAAAATTTTAGAAGGCCCATAATTGTTCCAAAATTTCAGATATGGAAACTCATGACAAGACACTAAGTGACAGTCACTGCTGCCTTCTTCTCACAACCATCTGCGGATTTTCTAAGCACCACTGCCAAGTTCCGTTGCAGCCGCAAACAGAAATTACAGCCTAGACTAGCCCGAGCTTTCCTCAGTCCTCACCCAAGGCTCAAGGCTCTGACTAGTCAGCTCTGCAGCCTGGGACACAAAGACAAAGGGTCACCGGGCTCCCCTGGAGGAAGTTCTCTTAAGTCTGATTCTGAACTCTCTATGTTTAAGGACACACATATTCTCCCATTACCCCCAGCGCTGTCCCCAGAAAGATACTTCTTGTCAACAATCTTTTGCACAATAATCAAGTACGCAAATTTCTAAACTTGCTCTGAACTGGTAAAAAGAAAACTGATTAAAAGGAAAAAAAGTTTAAAATCCCCAGTGCTGGCGAAAATAGGCTGATTTCAATTCTGTCATACAGACATATGAAATCAGGGTATTCTAGAAAAAAATATAATTTCCCACATACTGTTTTCACTTTCATCTACACAACTGTATTCCACTCTCCACACTTTCCTTCCATCTAGGCTGAGAAAATACTAAGGATGGTTTCGGTGGGAAGGAGAAATATAAAATTACTTCTATCAGCTAAAAACTGAAAGTTAGCCCTGGCCGGTTTGGCTCAGCGGTTGGAGCGTCGGCCTGCAGACCAGAGAGTCCCGGGTTCGGTTCCTGCTAAGGGCACGTATCAAAAAAAAAACAACAACTGAAAGTTATACCCAGTCTCAGTCTTCTATCACAAATGAGGTTCTCATTATGACGTAGGTTTCTTTTCCCTTTTTCCCTTTTGGAAATTTTTCATTTTACAAACTTCTCCAACCCCACAAATCACCAGTGGAGCTTGCTGAAAATTCAGATTCCCCTGCTCTTTCCAAATTTAATCAGAATTTTCAGGGAAAGGACAAAGGACTCTGTTCTTTTAGCAAGAATCAGGTAATTTTTATGAAAAGTTTGAAGAACACTGATCTTGGAACTATGTTCATCTTAGGAAGTAGAATATGGATTAAAAGTACTGTTAACTACATGTATCAAGATAAAATCCAGTCTGCTTCAAAGGTTGGCCTTTTAGAGTGGCTAAATAATATATGAAAGTAAACTAATAATTCCTGATAGTTAAATCATTATCCTCAGGGTTGATGGGTCTAAGCCATTATCTTATGCAGACAAGGTACTTCTAAATTTCAACTATATGAAACATTATCATGCTTCTATCTAGAGACTTTGCAAAAGGATGATCTTGTCTAGCATGTGTTAGCCAAAGACCTGTTCAGACTAGAATAGCTATGTCTAAAATGCAAAGGCCAATGCAGAATCAGTGCAGCCTTCTTAAGAATGGCATACAACAAACAAAGTAGATCTGGTATGTGCATCACCATGCTATGCCCTTGTGTGCAGTAGAGGACACAGCACACAGGAGACACTCACTACTTGACCGAGGAGTGAATGAATGAGAACAAATGAATGACTGGGGTACTGTCAGTGATACAAATAAAAATGGTATGGTGTAACATCATTAAGGGACAGAAATGCATTTAAAAATTTTTTTGTAAATTACCTGGTAGAAAACCTTTACCAGCCTTTAACCTGAATAATTGACACAGATTTATTTTCAAACCAGGAAAGCAAATCCTGAGAGGCCCACAAAAGCACAAAAGTAAGGAGAGGATATAAAAGGTGAGGAAATGCTTTAGGAGTAGTAAACTCTGAGACAGCAGCCAGGGGACAGCAGCACACAGTGTCACACCAACAATACTCCCCAGGGTGCACTCAGAGCTGAAGACCACGTACAGCATACTGAAGTGCCAAAATTCACGAGAACAACAACTGAACAAAAAGGGAGGAGAATTCAGGTAGAGGTAAGGCAAAACTCCAGTGGGGACAGAATGAAGAGTGAAGGGGACAGCGTGCAGTTTCATGCAGGGACCTCAGTGAGACACGTGGGCAGGAGGTAACACTCTTGAGCACAGAGGACTGGTGGAAGGGAGACACACCTCTATCACAGAAACAAACTGCTTACCCTCCGCTTTAGTGGCAGTACCATCTTTAAGCAAATTAAAAAACAAGGGAAGGGATAACAGGAACAGTTAGTAACATTTAAAAACTTAAAAAGCAGAATGTTATTAGCTACTAAAAAAGCAAAAGTACAATTTAAAATAAAATTAAAAGGGAAACAAGTTCAACAGCAAAGCAGAATCTGAAGCAAGTAAAAGTGCCTTATCTTGAAATCAGCTTAGTTAGTTAGCATCATGTGCCTTTGGAAAACAACACAAAAAGGGCAACCCGGGGTAGGGTCTCAGTTGATAGTGATCGCTGTTTTTTTTTTTTTTTTTTAGCCAACCTTCATCCTCTTAAGAGTTCCTTTTTCCTGGAACAAGCAGCAGAATGGGTAGTGGAGGACGCGGGACTAAACTACTCAACTACTGAAGAGTCACCAAGGGCAGTGGCGAGAAAGAAGTTCAGAGAAGCTCGCTCTAGCAATGCCTATCCCAGCTACTGGTCAGCAGCAAAGCTGTACAACATGGTACCTGAGTCAAGGCCTACGGACTCCACATCTTCCCTCATGTGTCTGGACTCTAGAAGTTCGAAAAAGGAGCATCAGGTTTAATGCTATACTTCTGCACAGATGTAATGTAGCAACCTAAGTAGTAATTGTAATAACTTCTCAGTAGGATTATGTTGTATTTCAGGGTGGATTTGTTTTCTGTTGTTTTGAACATAAGGAAAGTTAGACAGTCAGAAACGGGTAAGAGAATGAGAATACTCCAGTCTCATTTGAAGAGGGAATCCTGAACTAAAATTTATCAGTGTTTCTAAAGGTCAGTTCTGCATCATCAGACCAAAAGACAAGGATGCTTTTACTAGCATGGAGGAAAGTCTACATGGTCCATACTAAACTATCCCATAGAAAAAAAGGCTGCTGATGCCCTGGCCAGTATGGCTCAGTGGTTAGAGTGTCACCCAAGGACCGAAGAGTCCCAGGTTTGATTCCAGCCAATGGCACGTACCTCGGTTGCAGTTTGTCCCCAGCCCCAGTTGGAGTTGTATGGGTGGCAACCAATCGATGTGTCTCTCTCACATAGATGTTTCTCTATCTCCCTTTCTTTCTCCCTCCAGCTCTATCTAAAGATTAATGTAAAAATATCCTCAGGTGAGGATCAAAATATAAAAAGGCTACTAAGGACTCTAAGTGGTTTTTTACTCAAGTTTTCTGGCAATGAAACAAACACTAATTAGAAATACTCAGGTATGGATTAAATGTATTTGAAACACTGGTAAGCATTTTAAAAACTGAACTGAAATAAATAGAACTACTTCACCACAGGAAAGGGAGTTCTGACTTCCCTCTTGCTCAGTGATTGGATTATCTACATAGTATCACAAAAACTCCTATAAGGATGTAAGGACATTAGAAAAGGGAGCTCCTGGTAGCTTTCTTCCCAATCTAAATGTATCGATCAGCGTATGAGGTATTTTCATAGAGAAAACAAGACTGACTTAAACATTCCTGAACATATATATCTGTCAAACTAATAATGTTCCTATCATAATCACAGTTTCTCTCCCTTTTATGTGACTTCCTATCATGTATCTGTGTTAGGTGCTATATTACAACTAACTTATTGGTGCAGGAAGTCCCCGAGACTCCAGAGCCTGCTCAAGGTCACCACGCTAATCCACGGCAGCCCGGGACCCCCTGCTGGTGCGTTCTCACTGCGCTTCCACATACAAAACAGTCTTAGAACATTAATTTTAGAACTGAGTTTGGAAAGAATATGTAAACCACATAAGTAATTTAGTCTGTGTTCCATAAAATCCAAAATCGAACCTAACCAGCTAAGCCCCCAGATTTAGGCTTTGGATGACTTTGCTCTCACAAAAATAAAATTAAATAAAGCATCAGCCTTACGTAGAGCAGGTGTTAAGTGTCTGCTGAGAACTGAGAAACTGACCCATGACTCTGTCAGACATTAATTCTTTGGAAGATTACTGTTTTTTTAATCTTGTGGGCTATCACTGGAGCAAGTACATGCTCTTCCCAAAGTGACACGTGGGAGGACAACCCTCTTCTGTACTATAGGTTCCAGTGGTAAGTCCATCACATTCCTCCCAAGATCCTCCCTTTGCTACTGTCCCTCTCCCACTCCCCCATACCTTCCCCACTCTAACTACATTCTCAAATTAGAAAATATCTAACTACAGTGACTATCTTTGGTGAACTCCGCACTAAACCCTCGCAGCTCTGCTCCCACCGAAGTCAGAAAGGGAGAAACCCCAGCTTTGGCAACATGGGAGGGAGATGCACAGGCCACCATCACGTGGGAAGTGGAACTGAAGACAGGACGTCTAAGTGCCACACACCACTCCAACACCAGTTACTAAAAATATCGTCACTAAAAAGCATGGTGCTCCAGGGAAAGGGAACAATCGACAGAGGGGAGTTTTGAACCAGCAATTAAGTGCAGAGTCACTCATACTTAAACATCGGCCCTGCAACAGTGACAACCTCCTCAATTACCGTTTTATAATTAGCTAAATAAACCTGAGCAGAGGTAAGTGTCACCTCCAACGGCAGAACTGGAGGGAAGGTAGTAGAGACCTGGTTACCTAAGGATGCATATGATCCTGGAGGCAAGGCTGCTGCAGAACTGAAGGGCGCGCTGCCTGAAGCCGAGGAGGCTTTGGATTTGGCGCTGGCTGCTGCATTCACATCAATGTCACTTCGAGACCGCTGGAGGGACCCAGTTGTTGACGCGGATTTGGTGCTGACTGTAGAAGCTTTGGTGGAAAACAACAGTAAGGACCACACTAGAGCTGTACACACATATTGTTAAACTAATTTTGCTTTTCTTTACAACAGATATCAAGTTTTCCTTAACAAAGGTTGGTACACGTAGCACTGACCAACACTTTCTCCTGGTCCCTGAAGACAGAGTTCAGTCAGTGCTGAGGGGAAGAAAAGTGACTGCAACTATACACAACTATTACATTTCTCTTCTTGTCATCAGACTATAATAAATACCAAAGAAATGGATCCTATTTCTGCTTAGTATGTGAAGTGAAGCAATAAGAAACTGTTCACATCTGGCCAGCTTCCCCACGATGTGGCAAAAATGTACACTCTCACCTATATGCCCACCCGCTTCGGGGAACATCCACCCTCCGCCTGCCTCGAAGGCCACCAAGCTGCTGCTGCTGCTCAAAGCACCACCAGCTGTGCTTGCTCTCTGACCCTCTGACCCTCTGACCCTCTGACCCAGCAGCCAGAGTCAAGGAGCTGTGCTCCTTGTGGCAGGGTCCACATACTGGGGAGTGTGTGGGAAAAGGGCACAGAGTTCAATTTCCGCCTGAAGACGACGTCCTGACGATGTCTTCCTCATAGCGAATGGCCTGGGAGAAGCGGAGCTCTGCTCAGGACAACGGAGCACGGAGCAGAGCGGCACACTCCGCAAACCAGCCCAGGAGCCCTGAGCAGGGCGCGCTGGCTTCCAGCACTGAGCGGCCTGGGAGCGCACAGCGCGCCTGAGGTTAGTGGCGGCCTCCCGCAGCTGCCTTCTCCACACTGTCATCTTACCTCTAGAGGTGGTACTTCCGGTAGAACTCCTCTTGGCAGAGAGCGGCCGACTAAAAATAAAGGTACACGTCTGCTTATTATCGAATGTGCACTTTACCTGCATTAATAGAAGTACAATCTATAACTGAAAATTATGATAAGGAAGAATTATTTCAGAGTTCTCAGAATTTCTCAGGCAATTGGGCCCACAATCTATTAAACCCCCAATTTCAGAAAAGCTTTAACATTACATTTTGGAGTCCTTTCCAAACACAGAGAGAGAAGTCATAACTAGAGACAGATGTTAGAAGTACAGAATAAAAACAATATGACATTAAGTTCCAGGTTTTTAATGCCCCTCCCTTTACAAATTTGTCTCCAAATTAATATGTGCATACTCTTAGAAGGCAATAAACAATTCACTTATGTCACTCTAAAACTGTATCACTGGACTGTCACATAAACTTAACTAAAACCTACTTACGGCAGAAACAAGGCCACCTATTTCTTACCACTCCCATGGTATTTTACCTAGCACCAGAATCCATCTGAAGTGAGGATTTATAATAGGCACATATACGTAAAAACACAGCCAGAATTTGTGGTCTCATGCAGCAAATTTTAAATATAAAATCCCGCACCAATGAATTCCTTACTTTAGACTCTCCTGAGAGCTAGAAGACGAGCGATCAGACTGTGGCAAAGACACAATGCTATCCGAGTTCTTCAAGTGGGACTGCAGGGCCTTCTGGTAGGAGGACTCCAGGGTGTGGTATAAGTGCTCTGCTTCTCTGCTGAAGTGACTGTGGAAACCCCAGTAACACCTCGAGAAAACAGAACTTCCCATCACAGTCAGGATCATAACAGGTACTTCACTGGGCTCTGGATACACACACTACATGACATTTTCAAGGACTAGATCCTGTTTACCTTCAGGAGCAGCATGATATAAGGAAGAGATTATGAACAAAGGAGGCCTGATATGAATCCTGACCTGGCAACTTACTGGCTTGTTAACACTGGGCAAGTTACTTAACTCCTCTGAATCTTAGTCTCATTTATAAAATGGAAATTAAAGAGACCACCTTGCAAGAAGCCTGGGGGGCCTTAAATAAGATGGCGCTAAGACATCCAGAACTATACCTACTATACCTAAAACTGAAGGGGATTCACTAATGGTAGTTTTATCAATGCAATTTGACACTCATTGAAATATTTAAAAATTGCTGTAGATAATACATACAAAAGGAAATGGAAAGATTCAGAACTACTTAAAATTGTTATTGCATTACAACTAAAGAACCAGAAAAAATTAGGGGAGAGAAAGAATATAATACAAGCATAAAAACAGCATAAGTAGATCATTAACAAATACATTCCTAATACTTTTTACCAACTATTAATTATGTCACTTATTTTGGTAGGAACCACCCAAGATGAGCTTGTGGTGAACACTACAGTGTCATAGTGAGATCCTCCAAAAATCTCAGAAATCAGAGAAATATAATTTAACTGAGAGAGCAAAGAGCAACGAACACTCAATCAAGACGTATTAATGCAGCTAAGTAAAACAATCATATTCCATGCTAGTAAGAATAGGTTGGCTTTAACCTGTGTCAAGAAGAGTTGGTCAACTACAAAGGCACAAAAAAAACCCACCACAGGTACAAAGCTGGCAGAGTATACGCTCCCTGCCCCACTGAAAGACTTAGCATGGAAACTCTGGCATTCTCAGTCACAATGGCAAAATTATTCCCAGGAAGGTAGTAAATGTATGGGGCACAGCCACCAGACCGGAGTATAACTGCCTCACACGTGAGATGGCAACAGCAGGTCACCACTGTGATAATCCTGAGCCTCTGCTCACCCCACCTCCCCCAACTGTGATGCACAATCCACAAACAAATGTGATCACAGGGAAAAGGGCCCCATGAGAGGCACTTTTCCACAGCAAATCAAGAAGTCAACTTTGGCCCTGGCCGGTTTGGCTCAGTGGTTGGAGCGTCGGCCTGCGGTCTGGAGAGACCCGGGTTCGGTTCCCGCTAAGGGCACGTACCTCGGTTGCAGTTTGTCCCTGGCCCTGGTTGGTCGTGTGGGTGGCAGCCACTTGATGTGTCCCTTTCACATCGATGTTTCCCTCTCTCTCTCTTCCTCTCTCTCCCTCCCACTCTATCTGTACAAAAAAAAAATGGAAAAATGTCCTCGGGTGAGGATAGAAAAAAAAAAAGAAGTCAACTTTGGACTGACTTAGATTTTAACAGGGCTTAATGAGTTAGAGAATACACTGAGCATACAAAAATAGTGGTATAAAAATAAACACTTACTTTCTGGCTTCTATTCTTGCTTCAGAGTCGGCATCATGTATTCCCTTCTTTATTGTTTCGGCTAATACTGATATGTGTCTAGATATTTAGAAAAGAAAGTAACAATCATTAACATGTGTGAGAAATAACTGCAAAATGGCAACGTGGAACTTAGAGCCTTTGTGCCAAGTGAGTCAACTAACATGCAGCTCAAAATTCAGAGCACTCTGGGCAGCTCCTCTAAGTCAGCCCCAGCACTCTCCACCCCCACCTCAAGTACACTGATAATCCTACTCTCTGGTGTGGTTTTTTTCAAGTTACGACTGATTTTTTTCAGGCCATTACTTATACAGCTAAACCTTTTATAAGCCAAAACAACAAAATCTCTTTTTTTCCAGTCAGAACTAGTCTCTATGGAAATTTTAATAAGATAATAATATCTTAATAATAAAGAGGGTATCTGCATCACACTTCTGTAATTAAAGAGATTTTTCCAAGTTCCACTATGTATCATGAACAATTTTATTAAATTATGTAACCATTTTATAAATAGGTATTCCCTTTAGTTATGTTCCACCCTAGATGAGAAGAAATCAATGCAAGTTTTAAGAAAAGGGAAATGACCGGAATAAAGTTTCATAGAACAAAGAAGAGCTATAAATTTTACTAGCCCGTTCAAAGTCTTTACACTTCAGTCCTTCATTGCTTCAATCAGTATTTAGTGAGTACCCGCTGCTAAGTGACAAACACTGAGCTGGGAGGTGAATGAATATGTGAAGCTATATCCAAGTTCTTCATGCTTTCTGTTTTTCTCACCTGTCCCCACATTAAATCCCTTATTCCACTTTTCACCTCTAAATTCCCAAAATGCCACCAAATAAAGAGGATATACTACCATGAGATTAAAAAACAAGAAAGTATTGAAAAAAATGTGAGACTATCTTGGAGATTCAAAGTATTTTCAGATGAAATTTTACTCTGGGAGGCTTGGCTCCGTGCCATCTCTGACCACTGCAGCACGGATGGGCCTCCGAGGAGTATTCGACTTAGTAGAATCCCACTCTAATCAAATGTTCATTTTATTTATTTATTTATTTTTATCCTCTCCCAAGGACATTTTTGCATTTATTTTCACACAGAGCAGGAGGGAAAGAGGGAGGGAGAGAGAGAGAGAAACATCGATGTGAGAGAGACACATCAAGTGTCTACTTTTCATAATGATGACATGAAACTTACCAAACACCAATCTGCTAACTTTCTGATACACCCTGCCTACCTAGAACAGCTGTAAACATGACCTCACTGGAACTGACAGGAACATCAGCTGCAGGTTCAGAGTCCGTGAAGGTCCATCCTGGCTGTGCAGTCGTCACAGTACACATCTGCCTGTATCTCTAGACACACTAATCCCTCAATCAATGAAGTTTACTCAAGGCTTCCACCAATATTACGTGCCTCACATTAGTAGAAACAACAGAAGTAGTTATGAGAACAAATGCTTAGATTCCTTCATTTCTGATAGAAAGTGGGTTGGATCACTTGCTGAGTCATTCAATCTCAAAATTCAATTCAGAGGAAAAAAACCAGCAAATCAGATGCTCACCGTTCCAGTGAATGTGTTTGCCATTCTTGTAAAAGTAAATCTAAAAATTCAAAACAGCGTCTGAAAATTGTAAAGAAAAAAACATGTAAGTTAGTAATTTGTATGCTACTGAAAATAAAAGCTTTTTCTGAGTGACCCAATATTACTTTTTATAATTAACAATTTCTTCTAGGTTTTATGATTTTAAAAAATGGAACATAAAGATGGAATCAGAGATGACAAAATCAAAGCAAATGGAAAAAAAAATTAAGCATATATGATGGTCAAAAGAAAAACCAGAGCTATAGGGACAGGGTACAAGAGTTGCCTCCATTACCAAGAGTGTATCATTCTCACTTGTTTTTATTCTACCTCAAATAAGACATGAATACAGGATGTAAACATGCACAAAAGATCACCATACATTATAGAATCAGGTCATTGGTCTTTGCATCAATTTTACAGAATGCCTTGTCCCCAAAAGTAAAAAAACACCCAAGGGAAAAAAGTGTTTGACAAATTTTCCTTCTAAGAAGATCCTAGGTAATGCTTAAAGTATTTTGTTTTTTCCTAGCTACTCAGCTATTTTCCTCTCTTCAATCTTTCAAAATATCCTTTCTTTTCTAGCCTTTTCACTTGTAAGATCTGTCTTAGTCTGATTTGTGCACTAAAACAAGTCTCATCTCCTTTGGATTAAATCAATACTTTAGGTGAAACCCAGGTTATCGATCTTTGTAGGAATAAATCTTAATCGTTTTAGGAACCCATTCAAAGAAACAAAGTCAGAAGGTGATCTTTCTCGAATGACCAGACTTTCTTTCCCATGATCTTCCCAATTCAAAATCTCATAATTCATACAATTAATCACTCAATAAATATTTAATAAGCCCTTACCCTATGCTAGATGCTATAAATACAATGGTAACCAAGACAAAATCCAGGGAGCTTGACAGACAAGAAATGGTTACCATGTGCCTAGAGTACAGGGGCTCTAGAAGCACACAGGAGAGATATTCAACTCAATGCTAGAGGTGGTAACAGTGGAGAATGTGGGGGCTTATAACATAAACTTTTCCCAAGGCAAGACACTGGTGGACGCCCACATCTTTTCCTTACTATCACTTTCCCCACTCCTGCTCCAACCTAGGCCATGTTTAGTCTATGTCTACCCTTTTCGCCATGGGATTTCCAAGTCTGACTTTTCTTGCCTGTCTCTCTTCTTAAAGTATGTGTGCATATGTGTATATATATTTATCTCTTACTGAGAACTGCCATCTTTAGTGTTCATTCTTGTCTTAAATATTAACAGAAAAAATATCACCTGTAATTAGGTTTTGTTTTCAACTCTTTAGACTAACAGCACACAAAGAAGCCAATCAATGTTTAAATACATCAATTTAGAACTTGTCTTTCTTCGTCACCTACTCATCCTTCAAAAAGGCAGCTCAAGTTTCAACTTTCTATGAAGCTTCCTAAGAACGTATTTGCTGGTTTTAATCATTGCTTTCTCTGAATTCCTAACTCACTCTTACATTGCTTTGCATTATTATTTTTTAAATCTCGCCAATTAAATTATAAACTTCTGAAAGGCAGGGAAGTTGTACAATCCATTTCTTACAAATGCTACAAAGCGAAGCTAGGTACAGGTTAAAACAGCCGCCCTGGCCGGTTTGGCTTAGTGGTTAGAGCATTGCCGGCGAACCAGAGTGTCCGGGTTTGGTTCCCGCTAAGAGCATGTACCTGGTTGCAGTTTGTCCCTCACCCCAGTTGGGGTCGTGTGGGTGGCAGCCACTTGATGTGTCTCTCTCACATCGATGTTTCTCTCTCTCTTCGCCCCTCTCTCCCCCCCACTCTGTCTGCAGATAAATGAAAAAACAAAAAAACAAAAAAAAAAACAACAGCCAAGCGCACTGCCTTGGTTCCACTGCCCTCTTTAGCTCTATCTCTTTCTTTCTAAAGACTGGGTCAGATGGCCCCTTATTTCTTCTTTCAGCATTAAGTATATGAGTCTGAGTGATACTCCTTCAGACTAAATACAGGAAAAGCAATCTGGGTGTGTGGCTCAGAAATTGATGAGGGGGGTGGTATTTCTATTGTCCAATGTTTGTAGGTTGCTACTCACACTGATCACCAGAGGCCAGAACTTTTAAATACTATGACCTGAATGAATTCTATCTACCTCAAATTCATTATGTTGAAGATCTAATTCCCAATATGATGGCATTTGGAGATGGGGCCTTTGGGAGGTAATTAAGTGGGGCTCTCATGATGGGATTGATACCCTTGTAAGAAGAAACACCAGAAAGCTTGCTCACTTTCTTTCTGCCATGTGAAGATACAGCGAGAAGGCTGCCATATGCAAACTCCCTTCTTTAGAACCCAACCATTCAGGCACCCTGACCTCAGGCTGCCAGCCTCCAGAACTGAGTAAATCCATTCCTGTTGTTTTTGCTACCTAATGTGTGGTATCTTGTTATGTCACCCTGAGCCAACCACTACACCAAACATCCTGTAATGTTCCACCACAATGATCAGTGTCATCTCACTGCAGCAACTCTGCTACATAAAGGAAAAACACACTTTGAATTTCTCTAGAAAACCTAAAACAATAGTAATGATAATAACAGCAGCAGCAACGACAAATTCTAATATTGGTTTCCATTTATTAAGCTTTTACTAGGTGTCAAACCCTTTTACCTAAGTGACTATTCCGAAGACAACTCTGCACGGGAGTACTTATTCCTAATAGGTCAAATAGTTAGTACATGGGAAGAGATAATGCTGACCCCAGTGTGCCTCTTCTGGAATTCACTATCATCCCTGTACCTTGTGGACTCTGCACTCTCCTCTCCAGGGAGAGTTGAAGCTGTTCTGTGCTAATCCCAAGGAAATGCAGACTGCATCCTTCTCAGCTATATACCATTTGGCCATGCAGTTCAAAAGTAAGCTTTTTCAGTGGAAGGAGCACATTTCTTTCTTCCTGTTGTATTATTATACAGTTGGATCATTCCCCTTCTTTTCTTCCACATGGCTTCCTTGAAACTGGAAGATGGATATGAGCCTGCCTCATGCTTAAGAGGATCTCCTACCCACAGAAACCTGGCAAGACCAACATGACACCCTAGGAAAGGAGGCAAACAGCAGGCAGCTAATGTGCACTGGGTGCTAAGTCAGAGAGGGAAGGGCTTTTTCACTGGGCTGGAATCAAGACACAGAACTACAGGAATGGAGCCAAGAGGCTGCTGTCCATTACTGAACATTATAATGCTCCTAATACAGTCCATTGAGAGGCTTCAGTGGTGTGCATGAATCCCCTGAAAAGCTACACAAAACCATCCTGTGTATTTAGATTTTTCTGGAAAGAGGGGCCGCATATTTGAATAGACTCTCAAAAGACTCTCAACAGTCAAAAATCATAAATCCCCATTAGAGCCTTTATTCCTCACATGTGATCTAGGGCAGCTCACCAGGACATAAGACAAAACAGACACTTAGGAACAAAGCCCTAGCTAGCTACCCAGGTTTTATCTTCTGGGTAAAATCTCCCATAACTGTGCAGAAGTAGGTGACTGGTCAGAATTCAGAATCCCAGAAATCACCATCAGAAGATGTAAACACAGACACTTCCTCCTTCCTATGTTAATATTAAATAACTGCCATGAATTTTTAGAGTTTTTTTCCTTGCATGTACGTAGTTACTGTCTTCATTCAAAGAATGGAGTACACCAATGATATAGGAAGAGAGACTATCTCAGGAAAAAATGTACAAGGGTTCCTCTCCCCTTTCCCCCACCCAATCCCCAATTAACTCACATACCTATACACACACATTCATTCATTCATTCATTCATTCATTCACTCTCTCTCTCCCTCACACACACACACACACATACAAATAATGGAGGTTGTCCAAATTTACTTTCCAGACTATTTAGAGCATAATCCTTCAATCCAAAAGTATTTATTGCAGCAATCTTAAATGTTATTCAAACTTTTTCCCACTGAGAAAAATTTGAAATATGTTTTGGTTTTAAAACAATGCAAAAATAATAAAGGAAACTTTAAATATTTACCTTCTAACTGCAACAGACTTAGAGGTACAGTTGCTCGTTATGACAGGTATTAGCCTAGGAATGTGTGTATGCTGTGGAAAACAAAAACAGATCAACACTTGAAAATACAAAAACAAAATAAAAACGCAGACAACCATTTCCTTACTAACCTACCTAAAGCACATATGTATTCAGATTAGAATTTCACTGAGTTTAAAAAGGAATAAAGAATATCACTGGATATTACCAACGGCCATAACAAAATTCAGAGCCAAAAGAGACAACATGGTTTTAAATCAGTCTAAAATTAAAACAAATTGTTGGAATAAAATCTAAATTGTCTGAGTAACGAAGGTCTGAGTGAGTTCAAAAAGGGTCAGCAAACCCATTTATTTTTATATTATTTCAATGGAAATGTCCAATAATGGCTTTAGGTTTAACATTTGAAGCAGCCAATACAAATAGTAAGAAGTAAAAATAATACAAAGTAACTAGCCCACAATAATCAGAAAATTCTGGGTCAACTTTAATTAACATCATCAAGTTCCAGCTGCAAGGGCTGCCTCTGGGACAAAGGGACTTGAAGGTGGGAGAGGTGATAAGGAAAACTTTTATTTTAAGCCTTTATGAATGATTAGGTTTTACTGAAAACTTATACAGAAATTCTCACGTATATACTTAAATCTAAGTAAGTGTTTAGAAAACTGAACTGAAGAGAATATTTTGTTTCTGTGTTTACATATAGTTAAGTAAATAACAATTAAAGGTTAATAACAAAACCACCAGCACAAATACCTGAAGTGGAATAACTGGGGATTAAGAATGAAAGAATGGGAGTGTAATCTGGAGATGTAAAGAACAGCGTAGAAATTCAGAAGCAGATGGAGACGCTCAATTATTTAAAAGCAATGATGAGTCAATGATCAACACCTCAGCAACTGCACACCATGTCCACAGTTCACATGGTGGAATATGAAAGGCTCATATGCTATAATTAAGTGGGGGCAGGGCCAATACTGTACATATAACATGATTCCAACTATATGTAATCACTCTAATGAAAATTGCCTCTAAATATTGCTTATCAACCACCAATATTTACCACTTGGTTCCTCTATGTACGGTTCCAAAACATACTTACCCGAATGATTAACCTAACAGCTACCACACCAGAAGTGGCCATAATTTTGGCACTGTTTGGAATTAAATTAAAGATAGTTGGCATAATGGCTTCAGCTCCATGGTCAAACTTATTCCCCAGAACTGATGACAGATGCCTACAATAAGAAATGAATACTGCACTGTAGTTATATTTCTTGCAAACAATAAAGCATATAAACCTCAACATTTTTCAGCCTTCATTTAAAGTTATTTAGACGTAAAGGACAAGGGCCTCGAATCTTTCTAAGGGGTATGCAGAGGACTTGGCAAACAGTCATTAGCCCAAGATTTTGTTTCTTTATTTAAATAAATCATTTCCAACTAATTAAATTTCAAATAGCAAAAAACAAATTCATCATACACTAATAAAACATAAACATAAAAAAGCTCCCTCACCCTTTATTTTTAACAAAGTATTCATGCTTCAACATCTGACTGCAGTCAAAACTTAAGCAGCCTCAACGCCATCTTATGTCACTGCTTCTTTGATGTTCTGATTTACTCTCTAACACAGAAGTGCCAGCTTCAAATACTGATACAGGTTTAGTTTAGGTAGCATAAAAATGTACTGCAATACATTACATGCCTTTATTTTATAGCTACAGTATCTTCTAGAAACAAAAATTCTGATAATCATGCTATATCTTGCCATCAAAATCAATAAAAAGCTGAGAACCAGAAGTTTATACATTTCATTTATCCATATTATTAGTAACAACTGCTTCAAGTTTAAAACACAGGCTTCAGAGCTAAGTCACGGAATTAAGTTTAAAATCTGTCATACTTTACATAATTAGGTGAGAAATATTATCAAAGTACTAACAGAAGTGTAACTGGAATGAGTCTTTGAGACTACTCAGAAGTAACAATAGAAAGATCGATTGGACAGATCCAATGAACTGTCTCTGAAGCCTGTGCTGAGTCTATGTTACAATGTGTGAAAATCTGGAGCATTGCAGTCCTTACCCCAACGTGATACAAGCTTCCCGCACTACCTGAGACCGCAGATCCTTAGCAGATAGTTTAAAGGCTCCATCCAAAAGTCGCAAATGTTGAAAGAAGTTATCATACTCAGCAGCACCAGCCAAAAGTAAAGATCTAATCTTTTTTAGCTAATGGGACAGAGAAAATTAAGAGATATACAAAACTATTCCTAAAACAGGACATACAAAACAATAGAAGCCATCAAATATGAGAAATCAACAAGGTTAAAAGATATAGAAATAGTTTTCCAAAAAGAATTCAGCCAATTAAATGTTAGTTAATATACTGAACAAATCTACATATCACAAATACGAACAAATAACTTTACAAATACGTATCTGTGACAAATACATTACAATTCTAGAAAATGACATTTTTAATGGAAACATTTTAGGGCATACATTCTATCCTAATGATAAAATAACTAAAACCTTCATTTTAGCTTGTAAAAACCTCTTTCCCCCCTAAGATAACCTTCCCCCACACCCACTCCAACTGCCATTTATTTAGTAAATCAAAGGAAGTAGCAACCCCACAGACTTTTTAAAGTACCCTCCACTGTAGCATTGCTAGCAGGTGGTCTGAATTTGAAATAGAATACAACAGCTTTTTTACCACCACTCTTCTTGCCAGCCCTCGGATCAGACACACCCTCCCTTTAATGTTCAGCCCACTTATGTTGATTAATCTACTTTTTAAAACGGACAGAACAGGACTTTCTAGTAGGTGATATGAAGAAAGAAACAGAGGAACCCACACTGAAAATGCCACTAAAAAGCAGCTCCACTGGCCGACGACCACAGGTTTAAGTCTTTACCAAGGTGAGAGTGGAGGGCATCACCAGACATTCCACAATTGGGTCTTTGTTAAAAATATAGAATCTACATAAAGGTGTAAGTAGGCATATTTTAAAAACAGAAATAAAAGTGAAGTACTCTACTAAAAGGTAAAGTGTTAATGTAATAGTTTATATTTAAAATAGCTACTACTTAAAATTCATTAGAGTTGTATCCCAATTTTATAATAGAGTATTTAGAACATACAAATAAATCTAAGAAAAATGTAATCATATGAAATTAATGGCTTACAGCATTTACTCTTTGCTCCCAATCATGCTTGTCATCAGACAGTATTTCCCTAATTTTGTTGATGGATTCCTCAAGGTCACGGCTGGAATAAATCTGTAAGCAAAATTAATTTACAATCAACAAAATTAATTTACAATCAACAAAATTAATTTACAATTACAATTGTATAATTATTTCTTAATTACACAAAGTCAAGAGCATTCAGTTAGTAAAATAAATCATTTCATTTACCAGAACCTATGAGATAACATCTGGACAGATTTGTCTTAGAATGAGCTTCTTTGCCATTGTATGTGCCCACTAGATCTTGTGCCTATGTATGTATGGGTAACCTAGCCTCAAATACAGCTTTACTGTAAATGTAACAGATGACTTCACATTTAAAGAGAAAGAGGCCTGCTGGGGAACTGTCAGTCATGCACAAGTCCTTTATTACTCCTAGTATCATATGTAACACCACATTATATATTTAACTTTAATCACTTTCAAATCTACTTTTATATTTATCCCCACATCTGATTAGACAGGTAGTGGAATAATCAACCAGAAGTGAGGCATGCTGGGAAGGTTAAGGACTTAAGGATGAACTTTAGCCTAATATGCCTGTTATCTCATTTATACACATATGGCAACCAAACAGCAGGTAACAAGAATTCATATATAGACATAAAATGCTATAGGAATCCAGAGCATAGATAATCAATGATGGCTAAGAAAAGTATTGTTACCTTCAAGTCGTTAACAGATAACATCGAGAATTCAAAGCACTTAAAATGTATGACTTTACCCCAACTTTTATCAATAACCTTTGCTTCATCTGTTAGGTACTTAAGTGAAGCATTATGGTGGCATTAAACTAAACTTTTATTAAACCATTCTTCACAGCTTTTCAGATACCAAGACCCTTAAAATTGACAAATTTTTCTTTCTAAAACAAAATCCCTAAGTAAGCATGCTTCTTTATTCCCTTGTATAACCTAATTACCATCCCCCCAACCCCTTTTTATGTAACCTGACCCACAAACTTATTGCTAGAGCAAGCAACTTCTGGTTCTTACTGAAATATCTTCTTGGGCCTTGACTTTTGCTCTTCATTTCAGCTATAAAAGACTCCAACATTTTTCTAGTCTGCAACCTCAGATCTCCTGTAGTCTTGATAGTTAAAATTACCTTACCTACTAAAGAACTTCCTATAACACATGCCTGAAAAGTGAACTTTGAAGAGTAAGCCTATCTTTGTTTTTAATCAAATGTAAATATCCTCACTCACCTGCACTACAGGTACATCATCAAAGGCTTTAATAAAATCCTCTTCATCAACAGCACCAGCTCCTTCTTTTGTAGCTACACAAAAATAATTTTTAAAATGTAAACAATGTACATCGGAAGAATCTGAATATATACAATAAAAATTACACTTTGGTAGATTTATAACCATTTCTTTAACGTGTAATACACTATTAGAGTGCTGTGAAATTCACAAATATCACTGATTTTTAATCATGATGAAGTATAGTAACTATAATATATATACACATTAGCTTAAAGGTATTTAAAGAGACCACCTATTTAAGGATGGACAGTCTAGCCTTTAAAGGATATGATGTACAAATTTATGTATATATCATGTGTATTAATGTATAAATATTTTCAGAGATTACTAATAAACAGATATAATAAGTTTAATTCTTCAGGGAATAAAGTATATTATATTATTGTGAGAAATCTAACATATTTGTGAAATATTAAAGTGCTAAAAAATTTAATTTCAACTTTAAATTATTTAAGTAATTTAATTTCAAAACATTTTCATTTCCTATGAACTCATGATAACTGTGTCAATTTTTCGTTTATGCACCAGTAGCAAGTTTCCCCATAAAGTTGTTGTAAGATGCTTTGCATACTTAGAAGTTAATTGCTATCATTTAGGAGAAAATTTATTTTTGCTCATATGAACTCCATACATAAAATCTTGTGACATCTTACAGTTGTTTTTTTCCAAAATAAAGATTTCAAAATTGGTGTCTACAGTCATTCATATAAACCTTCATTAATAATTTATACTAATCAGTATGAGTGCTTTTCCAGAGCTTCTTACCAGACAACCTCTCCGGTATTTGGTGTCCTCGTGGAGCCTGGACAGAAAAGGGCTTTATGGCCCTGGCCGGTTTGGCTCAGCGGTTAGAGCGTCGGCCTGTGGTCCAGAGAGACTCAGGTTCGGTTCCCGCTAAGGGCATGTACCTCGGTTGCAGTTTGTCCCTGGCCTTGGTTGGTCATGCGGGTGGCAGCCACTCGATGTGTCCCTTTCATGTGATGTCCCCCCCTCCCCCAAATGTCCTCGGGTGAGGATAAAAAAACAAAAGGGCTTTATGGACAATTCCTGGTAGCAGTACATGTGTGCCATCCCCCTTAATGAACAACCACTCAAATGCATTTAAAGGCCAACTACAAACAGCTGACAGTAATGCCTTGCGATGTGGTGCCCTGTGTCTGTTCTAGTGTTAGGACTGGATCTCACTGAGTGCCTCCTCTATGTAAGGCATTGCACCAAGTACCTACATATGGAAGAGGACTCCAAGATCTAAGGAATCTGACAAGAAGGAGCCAACAAGGAAATCCATGGTGCTAAACAAAATAAGGAAAAGATGAGATCAGGGCTAAAGGAGAAGACGGGGCTGATATCTCTGCATATTTACACAGCTGAGATTTTTAGAAGGAAAATATGGGTGAGGGGTAGCATGGAAAAGTAGTGGTCTAATCATGCATAAATTTTTGAAATCTTGTTTGTGGAACTGATGCCACTCAAGAATAGATCAAGAAAAAGAAATAGAAAGAATGCTCAGGCCCAGCCGATGTAGCTCAGTGGTTGAGTACTGACCCATGCATCAAGAGGTCGTAGTTTCGATTCCTGATCAGAGCACATGCCCAGGATGTGGGCCAGACCCCCATGGGGGGCACGCAGGAGGCGGCCAGTCGATGTTCTCTCTCATTGATGTTTCTATCTCTCTCTCTCTTTCCCTTCCTCTCTATCTAAAATCAATTAAAAAAATAATAAAGAAGCAAAGTGGCTAATTTTGCCCTGACCAGTTTGCTCAGCAGTTAGAGCAGTGGCCCACAGACCCAAGCAAGGGTTGTGGGTTCGATCCCTGGCCCTGGTTGGGATCATGTGGGAGGCAGCAAATCAATGTCTCTTTCACATGGATGTTTCTTTCTCTCCCCCACTCTATCTAAAAAATTAAGTAAATAAAATGGTTAATTTTATGCTACGTGAATTTAAGCTCAGCAAAGAAAATAAAAATTTTTAAATGCTCCCTAAAAAAGATTATAATGCCACTCTGCCATCACTACAGCACCTTTAACAGACCGACATGCTGATGGCAGAGGCACTGTAGTGGCAGCAAGCTGCTCCAGTCAAGACACCAACACTCCAGGGCCAGTTCAGAGAGCACGAAAGACCGGCAGGAAACAGCATTCTGATGCTAACCCTGACTCGGGCTTTAACTTAGCTCACCCAGCAAGCTGAAAGCCCAGTGCTAAGTGAGCATGGTTCTAAAGGCAGTGGCTATACAATATTTTAGAAGCAAAAAGTAGGAAATTTGCATGTAAATTTACAATGTGACAGCAAAATGAAAGTATATAATAATTAGGGGGAAGGGGGAGATTTAGGGAGGAAATCTTTGTAAAGCAATTTTCAAGCCTCAGGAAGCAAATCCCTACCATTTACTTAATTCAATATCCATACTGGTCTCACAAGGAATAATGCTACCTGGAGGAACAAAATACCGTTTTAAAGACAGAGGTACAATCTGACTTCTGGATAGTCTCAGTCTTGATAAATAAAAACTGGCTAAAAACTCCCCATTGGAGTTTCAGGCACTGCAGGATCCCATTAATCAACAAATGCCATCAGGGCACCCTCCTGCTCTTCCTGTCTCTTAGCTACACTTTTCTCAGTGTTGGCTTCACTCCCCGCAGGCTCTCCTTACCAAAATGTGGCAACACAGAAGCTGAAATTTACATCCCACCAACTCATAAGCCAGCAGAAACATTGCAAAACAGACTGGAGGACCAAGAAGGCAAGTACCATGCACACCTAGTTTTAAAAGCTTGCATAGCTGACCCCACAACACCACACAGGGCTTAGTGTTACCTGAAGTTTTGGATCCAAGAGTGGATGACCCAAGCCGACGGGTGGTCCCCATTCCAGCGTTTCTCCGTGAGCTTGGTGGAGCTTTGGATGAAGTAGAACTAGCAGAGGAAGGTCTGTTACCATCCACAGAATCTTCATCATCAAAATTTTTATCTGAAGAATGAGCACAGAAATCACTGTTTTAAAGAAAGTGCTTTTCACCTGAACTTAAAACAAGTAGCCTTAGAAATGGTTTGCCTCCCCTTTTGGAATCTGAGGTGCTCACCCTGGGTCTTTCCAGGCCTCAGGTAAGTCCAGAATGCAGCCACCAACATCAAAGTTGCTTTTACATATCCAGGACATTCTCCCTCCCACCCCATTGTGGAAAGTAGAAAACACATAAAGAAGTAATTTCTCCTAAAGCCACCTCCTAGAAACATGTTGGCATACTTCTGACCATTCTCTGCCACGCATTTTTAAATAATAGCTGGCATAAGACAATCTATTTATTACCTATCATTTTAGAATATCACTCATTTAAAATTAACTCAATTTTTTAACATGACAAAATATTCTTCATAAATACCTTTTAACGGCTACATGGTGCTGTGTAACTAGAAAATGCCATACAACTGAAACACTTTCATTGTTAGACATTTTGGGTGGTTCTAACACTCCGTCAGAAATAATATTGTGATAAATACCTTCCTACTTGCACTTTGTTTGAATTCTAACAATTTTAAGACAAAATCCCTACAGCAATATTACTGAATTAAAGAGGATAAAAGGTTTTGATGTATACTGCCAAACATATCTTCAGAAAGGTCATTTAAATACTTTTCCCCCTGGACGTTCAAAGAAGTACCCATCTTGCCACATCATTGCCAAGGCTGATTATCATTTTTAAACTTCAACCAAAATTTGATAGGTGAGAAAAACACTCCTCAATGTTGTAGTTCTCTTTCAGTGAGGTTGAATGTTTTTAAATAAGTTTATTTAAATTCCCTAAGTAGTAGTGAATCCAACCAATATTCTCTAAGTTGCATTTAAAATTGAAATGTGTTGGCCTTTGGACCAAAGAGTCATGGGTTCTATTCCGGTCAAGGGCACGTATCTTGGTTGCAGTTTGGTCCCCGACCCTAGTCAGGGTCATGCAGGAGACAGCCAATTGATGTGTCTCTCTCACATCGATGTTTCTGCCCTCTCTCTCTTTCCCTCCTACTCTATCTGAATATAAATGGAGAAATATCCTTGGGTGATATTTAAAAAAGAAAAAAATGAAACAAAACAAAACCTATTTGGGCCTTAAAAAAAAAAAAAAAAAACATATTTATAAACAACAGTTTGATGACACAAAATTAAAGCTATCCTGGTACACTATACAGATTACCAAAGGCTTATATAGCATGTGTAAGTCATTCAGAAGGCTAAACAGAGAACTTAAAGAGTAATTAAAAACAAACAAAACAACAACAATAAAAAAGAAAACTAACATCTGTTGCTGGTCATATTCAAGATTTCTGAAAAAGGGCATTAGATCTTTACCAATAAGTTGAAAGTAAATAATTGTTGCCCCCAAAACACATATAAACAACCTGCTTCTCTTGCTCTGTTGCTTCTTAACTACTCTATCAACAACCAAGTCTTGTGTCTACTCAGAACCCTAACAATCCACTTCAAATTATATTGCTCCTTTTTAATTTTTTTTCCTTTATTGATTTGAGGAGAGAGGAAGTGAGAGAGAGAGAAACATCAATGAGAGCCATCGATTGGCCACCTCCTGCATGCTCCCCATTGGGGATTGGGCCCACAACCTAGGTATGTGTTCTGACCAGTAATCGAACCAGCGACCTCTTGGTGCATGGGCCGATGCTCAACCACTGACCTGCACCAGCGGGGACTAGATTGCTTCTTTTATTCAACAATGAGTGGTAAAACCCATCCTTACAAATGCCATATCCTTCTACAAATCAGCTTTCTTCAAAATGCCTTTAAACTTCCCAAATCACATTACCAAGGCTATGCTTATATTGTTTCACAGATGGTTCTTCTATCTACACATCGATTTCTTAGATTCAGATATTTAGTGATCTATTAACATAGACTTCCCATGTTGATTCTAAAGGTGATTCTTAAACTGCAAAGCACATTAATAAGACCCTTCCCAAAAGTAAAATTTAGTCTAATGTAAAGGACAAGAGCAACCCAAAAAGAGGGGTCACTCACTGAGCACTGACAGCATTAGCAGTGACAAAGACTCCTCTCAGCCTATCTGCCCTCAGGGGAGCTCCAAGAGCATCTGAATTACTCCACTGTCATTAATCGACCATGCTGAAGAACTCCAGCCATTATTCTCAGAACAACAACAATTGCAGTTGGTGGGAAAGGTAAGTAATAAATGAGGACACTATTTTACCTCATTCAAAATTTCATGTAAATTGTGTTTAGTTTCATCTTTCTAACATAGACAAGCATGCCATTAGAATTGCATTCAGCCACCAACAATAAAAAAGACAACCAACTAAATGAGAGATGATATTTGCAAACAACAGCTCAGGCAAGGGGTTAAACCCCAAAATATATAAAGAACTCATACAACTCAACACCAAACCAACAATTAAATTAAAAAATAGGCAGAGGACCTGAACAGACACCTCTCCCAAAAAGACATACAAATGGCCAACAGATATATGAAAAGATGTTCAGCTTCACTAGCTATTAGGGATATGCAAATCAAAACTACATTGAGATACCACCTCACATATGTTAGAATGGCTGTTATCAACAAGACAAGTAATAACAAGTGTTGGAGAGATTGTGAAAAAAAAGGAACCCTCAATTCACTGCTGGTGGGAATGTAAATTGGTACAGCCAGTATGGTGGTTTCTCAAAAAATTAAGAATAGAGTTACCATATAACCCAGTAATCCTTCCTCTGGGTATCTATTTACCCCCAAAAAACTAAAAAACACTTATTCACAAAGGTATATGTATCCCTATATTTATTGCAGCATCATTCACAGTGGCCAAGACATGGAGACAACCAAAGTATCCTTTGATGGAGGCCTGGATAAAGAAGATGCGATACATACATAACAATGGAATACTACTCAGCCATTAAGAAACGATGAAATACTGCAATTTACGACAACATGGATGGACCTTGATAGGATTATGCTGAGTGAAATCAGTCAGTCAGAAAAAGCTAAGAATCGTATGATTTCACTCATATATGGGATCTTAAACTGAACCTCATAGACAACAGTATGGTGGTTAACAGAGGAAAGGGGGAGGTAGTAAAAGGTAAAGAGGGTCAAATACATGGTGACAGAAGATAATATGACTTCGGGTGGTAAACACACAATGCAATATACAGATCATGTATTACTAAAATGTACACTTAAAACCTCTATGTTCTTGTTGACTAATGTCACCCTAGTAAATGTAATAGTAAAGGGAAAAAATTTCATTCAGTTATGAAGAATTACTTCCAGTGGACCAATTCCATTGGAGTTCCTGTGATTTCTGCTTTGCAGCAATGATGGATTAACAAGGACCAGACTTAACCTCTTACAACAAATAGCTAAAACAGAAGGAATATGTAAAACTACTTTCAGACCGGAGCAGGCAGTGCCGAACTGTGATCCCTGAGGAAAGAAAAACAGTGTAAACTATACAATCCCTCCTCCTTTCCGGAGACAATGTCCAGGCCACCAAATACATGGGAACCCAAACCTAACCTGGTAGCCTTGCTAAGTTAAGAAAATGAGGATCAGACTTAGGACAGGCTGAAGTGGATGGAAGTTACAGAGAAAAGTGCTATGAAAGAGGAAACTACCCAGAAAGAGAGTTCTAGAAATGGACTAAGGTCTAGGCCAGGCATGTGTGAGCGAAATTCCATTAAGGTGGGGCAAAAATGACCAGGAATCTATCTATAAACTGATTCTCAAAGTTTATACAAAGTGGGAAGATGTTCTGGGGAACTCACTGAAGGCATTCAGTATAGACCTCGGAGAGGGCAGGCCTTAGTAGTAGAACTAAACTATTTCTGGAGTGAAAGCTATACTAAACCTGCCTGATCAGAGTTTAAAAACGGTCTTAATGGGATTAGACAGATCTGCAAGTAACTTTAACTGCTTCACCAAAACAAAGCATAGCATTCTTTAAAGGAATATAATGAAATGCAGACACTTCAACAATGTAACATTCACAATATACAGCATCTTATAAAAATTTCATAAACATTATGAGAAGCAGGAAAATGTGACCCATAATTTGGATCCCCTCTGAATGCAGTCCAGGAGGAACAGCCTCCCAGTCCCCGCTTCTAAGATATTGTCAGTATTTTTCAACCAAAGCAATCTATAGTGAACTCTACTAGTTATTTAAATTCCCATTTTCTTCAGGCTTTTCAGCTTAATCAGACATCTGTCAGCATACAGCCTTTTTTCTAGAGCTTTAACTAAGGCAAAAACATGTGTGAAAATGAGTATTTTTAGCTATGTAAGCTTGTGCTGCTATCAATTTAAGATTTTTCACACAAGACAAACTATGTTACACAGAAAATGGTCTTACAGAAGGATTAGTTCTCCCTGAGCCCAAAGCAATAATGAATTCTATCTTCTGCCACCACTTCAGACTGTCATCTGAGAGTCACTTCTCTTATGTGACAGTCTGGGGTACAAACCTGGAATAAGGTCATTGAAGCCTTCAGTTCCCAGCCACTATTATCTCCTTTAATCCTTTAAAAATAAAAATAAAAAATCCCCTGAGCTCCATTCCTCCATTTACAGCACCGGGACAAAACATTTGAAACTGACTCATGAAATTTCTAGAGTTACACTGTAATTCTCATCCAATTCAATCACTCCACTCCTAGCAACCCAGTTAGTAGGCACAGTAAAGTTAAAAACAGCAGCAAAATAGCATGCCAAAAGGAACTACTGATACAAAAGAGGAGAGACAGGATTCCTTGAGAAAAAAAAAAGGTCAGAGTACAGTCATCCATGGACTCAACACAAACAAGCAGAATTCTAAAAGCTGAACACGTCTGTGACCTTGTCTTGAACAAATCTTTGAATTGTGGTCAAGATGCTACATGAAGGTTGAAGAGTGACCAGGGCTGACACTGAGCGGGCAGAGCAGACTTTGTCAGGCCCCAGCCGCCTCAAAACT